GGCCTTTTTAAAATCTAAGTAAATAACATCTACCTCTATTCCTTCATCCAAGCATTTTGTGACCTGGTCGTAAAATGAAACCAGGTTAGTCAGGCAGGATCTGCCTGCTATGAACCCATGCTGATTGCCCCTTAGCATCATTTTACCCACTGGTCCCCTACAAATGTGATCCTTAATAATTTTCTCAAAGGTCTTGCCAAGGATAGAGGTGGGACTAACCAGCCTATAGTTAGCCAGTTCCTCCTTCCTCCCCTTCCTGAAAATAGGGACCACACTGGCCCTTTTCCAATCCTCTGGGACTTGTCCTGAGCACCACGAGTGCTCAAACAGTTGTGCCAGCGGCTCCACTATGACTCCAGCTAATTCCCTAAGTACCCTAGAATGAAGATCATCAGGACCTGTTGGCTTATATACATTCAACCCTTCCAGGTGCCCTTTACTAGGTCAACACAAACACCTGGTGGGTTGGTATCTATACTGGGCTTACCTAAGGTCCCAATGGGATGCATGTTTGTATTCGTGTCCAGAAACACAGATATGCGAATTGTACATTCGCCAGCATGCCTTACCCCTGCCCTTGTGGGTGGAAGGGCCCAGCCCAGCCAGCACACATCTTCCAGGTGGGGCTGCTGCTACCACTACTGCAGTCACCTGGGGACCTGCTCAGCTTTCCTGGCATCCCGCTCACCAGATCCGGGCACCAGGTAGCAAAGTGTTGTGGGGGACTGCAGCTGGGCAGGAATGTTGAGCCTGGGGCTGGTAGCACTGTGGACCTTGGCCCCAGGGGGGTGGTGGGAGCACAAAGCTCGGGTGGGCAGGTTGTGGGTGTGAGGGAGTATGGGGGGTATGGAGACCCCCTTCACACTGCCCCATGGCACACACACCTTGCCACCAGCAGCAGCAGGCACTCAAGGCACTCATGCCTTGTGCAGGCACTGCCGGCTGGCTCTGTGTGGCTCCAGCCAGTGCTGCATGCGGTGGTAAGGAGTGCAGCCAAGCTGGCCCTCCTCTATCTTGTGGGGCTCCCTGCAGCACACCTACAGCTCCTGGCACTTGAGTGCTACCAGGGGAAGCTCCATGCAATGGAGCCAGCTGCCTTTGCCACTCCCTCATGTGCAGGTCCCAGGTCTCTGCTGGAAGTGGAGGGGAACCCCACCCCTTGGTTTCCTAAAGAGTCTTGGGACCTACACGGCAGGGAGCCATGAAGGCAGCCGGCTCTATTGCACAGAGCTTCCCCTGGTGGCGCTAAGTGCCGAGAGCTACGTGTGTGCCATATGGAACCCCACGTGATAGACGTAGGCCAGCCTGGCTCCGCTTCATGCCACCATGTGCAGCATTGGCTGGACCTGTGCACTCCCAGGTGGCAGCACCTGCACAGGGCACGAGTGCCCTGAGCACATGCTGCTGCTGCTGCTGCTGCTAGCAAGGGTTGTGTACCATGGGGGAGGAGCCCCCTCCCTCCCTCTCACACCCCACAAATGCCACATATACACTCCCCCCAACATACCCTATTGCCCCCATACAACCACACCCCACCATACACACACCCCACCCCCAACCACACCCCACACACAATATACAAGAGTAAAACTTTTTATTTCTGAGTTATTATGCAATCATCTCTATATACAGTACACAAATCATAAATAAGGGAGAAGTCAGCAATCCCTATTAATAGTTTTGCACTAATAGATCTCAAAGCACTTTACTAAGAAATTAGCATCATTATCCCAGTTCAAGGTAACTTTGCCTCTGTACAGCAGCAATAAGACTAATACTGGGAATAATTTTGGTGCCCACACAAAAGAAAGTTGGAAGACTGGAGAGGATGCAGATTAGAAAAGACGCAAATATGAGTCCAAGACTGCAGAAAAGGTCTTATGGTGATGGGATTTAGAGCTCAATCAAAACTGGGTAGAGTTTAACTGACTACACTACCCAAATACTTTAATGAAAATAAATATTGGACATCAAACAGCTTTTTGATTTAGTTGATAAAGGTGTAACAAAAACTAATGGCTGTAAACTGAAGCTGACCTACATTTCTAACAGTGGGGCCAATTAACCACTCATACAAATTACCAAGGTGAATTTCTCACTACCTCAAATCTTCTAGTCATGACTAAAGGGATTTGGTAGGTATGCTTTAGTCAAACAGGCAAGTTTTAATGTTTAAAGTTAGAAATGCAAACTTTGTAAACTTTATGTGATTCAGGGATCATAGAAAAGCAGTATAGGAAGGGACCTCTTAAGCCCCTTGTTCAGGGCACAGACAGGCAAACCATCTGATCAAACCATCCCAGCCTGGTGTTTGTTTAACCTGCTCTTGAAAACGTCCAAGGATGGTGATTTCACAGCTTCTCTAGGCAGCCTGTTCCCATACTCAACCACCACCATAATCAGAAAGTTGTTCCTTATTTTCAACCTAAATTTCCTCTGCAGCAGTTTGAGACCCTTGCTCCTAGTCTTGTCCCCAACAGTCACAAAGGATATCCAGTCTCCACCCCCTCCCTCTATGATAGTTATTTAGAAATGTATCAGATCTCTCCTCAGTCTTCTCTTCTCCAGGCTAAATAACTCAAGTTCTTTCAGCCTTTTCTCATACATCCTGTTTCTCAGCCCCCTAGTCGACAGCTTTTTGATTTAGTGATGGTGTAAAGGTGTTGTTTTCTGCTGGCCTCTTTCCTCTCTATCTGCCTACATTGTTCTTGCAGTATGGCCTCACCAGTGCCAAGTAGAGTAGCCAGTCATTCCCCAGTCTGGACAACTTGGAATAATTAAACATTGTGTGAAATATTAAGTTAGACTGTACAATGCCTTAAGTAATCCTTAAATGACAGAGCTATGAAACTATTAATTCAAACCTACCACATTTGCTCCCATCTGACCCTACAAACATCCTACAACTGGCCTGATGTTGCACCTTCTGAAGTGAAATAGTATTATCAGGGACTTCTGACCTGCATCCAAACCTGAGCAGCAAGAGGTTTGCTTTCTACTTGAGTTCACAGAACTAACGATGGCAGACCTATTTGGGCACATGCATGTACAGGGAGTTAGCCCCTGTGTCCTGATAAGAGGATTACTGGGAGCACACCAACAGATTTCTGGGGGCAGGGATACGAGGCAGAGCACATCCTCCAGCGCCCACTGGTCTCCAAAAGTCAGAGGAGCCAGGGCAGGAAAACACCCAGCAGCCGCGGTGTCTCCCTGTCCAACCGCACCACCGCAGACCCACTCCGCCCAGCCTCTCTCAGGTTCCCGCTCAAAGGCCCCAACCCGCGGGAGGCCTGCGGCGGTCGCGGGTCCCCCCCCCCCCCCCCCGGCTCCGGGCATCGGCCCCGCCCACACGGTCGCCATAAGGGAAGGGAGCGAGCGCCCTTCCTCATCCCCGGGGGAAGCTCCTAGCACTGCGTCGACGAGCGCCGGAAGTGGCTGGCGCGGAGGAGGGACACGTGGCTCCGGCGCGGCAAGGCATCTCCATCCGCCCGCCTGTGGAGGCAGCAGCAGAGCGGGCGGGCACCTCCCCGCTCCCACCTCTTCCCGTTCTTTCTGACTCGGTACAGGCTGGCGCGGAAGTGACGTCTGCGCTGGTTTGAAGCCATTTCCGGGCGGATTCTCCCGCCTTCAGTTTCATTTCCGGGCCGACGCCAGGCTTCCTCCTCCCGGCGGCTCCTCCAAGCCCCTTCAACGCAGCTTTCCGCGACTTCCGGCCCCGCCCCTCTTGGCAGTTAACTCCTCCGTGTCCGCCCTGGCCGCGGGCTCCGCCCCCTCCTGACTGAGCCCAGCCGTGCGGCCGCCCCGTGTGTCT